TTTTTACAGTGTAGTTTATAGTAATGTACATGTAACGCCTTTGGAAACAAGAACAACCAAAAAACTGTACAAATTACACTAAAAAATACACTCTTTGGAATATTCATATTCTTAGTTCAGTTTATTTTTCTTAATTCGTCAGTTATTTGTAATAATACAGGTTTTTTTCACCCGAAATAACAAGACTGGCAAAGACATTTTCGAAAGCGCACCTCGTCCGTGGAGGCGCGTGGATTTTCAAATAGGCCCCTATGTGTATTTCTATTGGCAGTTTCATGAGCCTTGACCAGGGTGAGGATTTTGACAACCCCGGCCGTCAGGCCTGCTGTACGTGCGTGGTGAAAAAACTGCACGGAGTGCGGCGCAATACCCTTCGCTGCAGCAGGTTTGCTTTCAACAAGTACGGTATATTGCACTCAGGCCGTTATGCTTTGCGAGTGATAGTGAAGCCGTTGCGCCCCACTCCGCGTGCCTTGTTTCGACTCGACATCATGATACGGACAGCTGACGCACGTACGTACGTTTATGTACACGTACACGCACGCGTGTCTGCGGTGATTCGGTTTGTAAGTCGGTGTACCGTACAAGGGTGGCAGCTCGTTTGCCGTGGTTTGCGTGTGTACGGCCTGGATCCCTACCTGACGGCCGCGTAAACCGCCTTGGACAAGGCTACAGTTTCAAGTACGCCAGAATTAAGAGACTTCGAACGCGCTCGTGTTTCCTCGCACATCCGTGCAATTTGAACGTTGACCGTCAAAAATCACGTGACAGAGAATCATTCATTATTCATTTTGCACTGACGGATATTTGAGGGCGGGAGGCTGAAATCCCAACCCATCCTCTTTAGCTATGACAAATAAGTAAATTCCAGGAAATAGAGAGTATTGCAGATATATCGCCTGACTGTTCAGTCCCCCTTCCTTGAGCAGTGCATTGGTGCAAACATTCGCGCAAACAAGGCCAAGTTAGTTCTGTGCGCCTTCGTGATTGACCACGCGTTCAATCCTTCCGTGTTGACGTTCTAACAATTAATCATTACTTTATAAACAATAGTACATTCCTACTACCTATTGATCCCCCAAAAAGGAAATATTAAGAGGAACCAATTTATACCGTTAAAAAGTCCTGTTTATGCCCTCACCATTGGTAGAAGATGTTCAGCGTCTTTTTGCGCATATTAGGCGTTCGGAAGAGGTCAATCTGGGTCGCTTGCCGGGTCAAAACGGTCTTGGCCGATAGAGAAAAGCAATATACAGATATCCGAAAAGGTTATATATTTGTGAGAAATGCACGGTTTTCCATTATAGCGTGATTGTCTGCATTCAAGGGTGGTTTGAAGGTCGAGCCTGATATTCAGACTTAATTAATTCCAGCAATCATTTAAAATTGACTTCTTAGAATACAATACAGTTTGGAGGCATTCCCTGTAGTAATCCATGTACAATGTACTCTGGTGTCTTGGCACCATTTTTCACCCATTGCTACTTCATGACTCTCAGTAAATCGACTGATAACGCAGCATTTGCCATGTGCCTGTATGGAGAAACCAACGCTAACAATCAACCAGATAACCCCTCATTATCGACTATTAAACCTTAAACCCACTGGGAACCATTGAACTCGTGCATATGCTTGTTGGATTCAAAATCATTAGGGTTAACGTTTGTAGCAACTAGAAAGTACCTTTTCTTGAAGTTCGTCCGTCTCACTAAACAAGTTCGCCGGGACGGATGAGCCGTTTACCTTGGCGATTTTACGGATGACCTTCTCGGCTTGTTTAAATTTCCGTTTGGAAATTAACCAGCGGGGAGACTCAGGAAGAAATCTAAAAACAGACACACAGGCTGTAGACAACAAAGTTTCGGGTAGGGGCTCCATGATAGGACACACCTTGCGCCTGGTGTACAATAGGCCGAGACTGAAATTTGTTCTTTGGTACGGAGCCCTAGAAGCGCCATCCGACTCGTTGACAGTCTGGCACTTTTTATGGCAGGCCGACGACATGAATATTAAAGACAGGATATTGACATAATGCATCATGGGATGACACCATCTTAAGATGGATTATTCTGAAAGAGGACATCTAGAGATCAGGATGTTGACATCTTGTGGAATAATTGAAATAAGGAAAAGGATAACGGTATGTTAGGACGTCAACATCGTACTTTCATGATTTGTCATCCCAAGATATAGTCGACAGTTTACTTATGTGATATTCTTTCTTCGGTTATCGGCCTCCCCTCTTTCGGATTTTGTTATGTGATGATTTATAATGACACTCTACACTACAGGACATCGTTATCCCCTGCTAAATTGTCTGGGGATGTGGACATATTACCCAGAGTATGTCATCATCCTAATGGAGAAAAATAAGGCAAGATCTTAACAAGGTTGACGGCACTTTTAGAGCTCCGTACTGAGACAATAATTGGCATTCAACCACCCACTTTCCTTATTTTCTTTAAGAGGAGACAGAAATGGACATCAGTCGTCCAGAAAGCCCACAGTGTACACTAGGACTGCTACAGGTCCGGATACCGGAGTACTGTACGTTGTGTACGCTGATATCCTCTTCAAGACTACCATAATGCGGAGAAAAGTTCCAATTTATACGCAGTCCATCTGTTTACAGATCCTGCCGCCAACAGCTAATCCAACTTACGAGAGGAAGGAGAAGAACAGGAATGAGGGTAACGAGATGGCGAGCTGGAGATGGCGCCAGTCACGGAGGAAGTAAGCACAGATGGCCAGAAGGGTGTAGCCGATGGAAAAATAAATGGAAAATAATGTACCGGCCAAGCTTCGATAGGCAGGTCCAACAAGTTCTGACACTAGGAAAAAGTACACGAAGATATCACGTATTACTCGCGAACGCTGGCATTAGATTATTTTTAAACAAATCCCAATACGAGTTTTTGTTTCCTGGACACGAAGACAATGGCGAGCTTGAATACATTATGTTGAAGTCAACATTTCGTGTCAGGCTAAAAGATTTCCGTTGGATTTCCATGATCAGCCAAAATTGAAGTGAAGGCCTGCCGACAAGGAACAAAACTGATTAAATTAAAGGTGTTTACAAGGCATAGCAATTTTCAGAAGTAATTAGTAGAACAATTTCAGATTGTCACAAATACATGTTTGCTTAGTCTGTTTATGACTGGTTTCTGGGGTCAACTAGCTCCCTTCTTCATCTCCAGTTAAAACGTCAAATAATGTAAAAAAATTGAATGTATCCCCTACGCTAACCTTGTATTTCCCAACTAAAATTGGCGGTGTAAGATAACTGACTAGCATGCATCGAACGAAACGCGACATCACAGAGAGTACTAATCGAGTCCATTTTACCCAAATCCGAGTCCATGGTACCTGAGTCTGAGTCTCAGTCTTTGCTATTCAAGTCCAAGTCCTTGCTACTTGTCCAAGTCCTTACTGTTCGAGTATGAAGTCTAAGTCTTTTCTATTGAAGTCCAAGTCCTTGCTATTCAAGTCCTAGTGCTTGTTGAGTTCGAGTCCGAGTCTTTGTGTCTGAGTATGAGTGTGAGTCCTTTTTTGAATCATCAAGAAGTGTTCTGATCGACATCAGTTCACTAATGTACAACTCACAAATATCACTCATCGTGACAGTTTAAAAGGACATCATCTATTAAAAGCAGTTTATATTTTGCTGCTTTTTGTTACTTGTAGGGGCCTGCGCCTTCATTTTGGACCCCCAACCAAAAAAGCTGACACCTTGTGGGGCTGTATTTTGCACTGGGGGAGAACAAAACCCTCTACAAGTACCAGAAAGATGTTACTTTAATTAATGTCCCATCAAAAGCAGTCAGGCACAGCAAATATTTGGGAGAATACAGAGCCGTGATGAAGGAAAAAAACTGTTGAAACATGAGGCACAAGCTATTTCAAGGTTAAGGCCTTGAAATGAGTAAAAATGAAGAAGAAAGTGTCACGTATCTATGTGGAAACGTCGAAAGACATTGAAGGCCACCATCGGCAAGCTATAAAAACATCTTACACAGAGAACAAAAAACGTTCTTCCATGACAGCACCAAAATTCAAGACAAAGTTGAAAAATGATGGGTTGTGCCACGTAGCCAGGCTGCCTCTGGTCGTACATTACTTTCTGTTGCCGGATATTACTTTGTGAGGCAGTCGGGCTATGCCAGACATAATTCTAAACGCAACACAATGGATGCGTAACTTTCAAAGATTTGGCTGTTTTGATGACCGATTTTGATGAAGTATAAAAGTAAAACTTTTCCATGAGTGTATCCCATAAAAAAGTGGTTCAACATTTTAGCGAAAATAGACAGAAAACATTTTAGTTCTTTTTTTAACAAAATTTGAAAAGATAATAAAAATAACTAAAGTAAGTGCTTCAATACCATTGTAAACAATGTATGGCATGTACAATGTTTCATCTTATTTAGGCTGACCCCCCCGGAAAAATTCCTGGATCCGCCCCAATTCTAGGGTGTATTGCAAAAGTACAGTACCATCTCGAAATTAAACTTAACCATGTCGCGCAAGCCAGTAGGCCAGTGAAGTTGCAGGTTGAGCATAGTCTCATTAGTCCGATTCCAAGGATGAATTTCACTCTTCCCTATCCAATCAGGTGTCGTATGCGAGTCTTTTGTCAGGGAACTGAGCCACCGAGCCTGTACGGGCACTAACGGACGTACGTATGGTTTTGCACACACTGTACGTCACGTGTCCGGGCCTTCACCGTACACCGTACCGCGGACCGCACTCAAATAGAGCTACACGGCGCTAACACAACAGAGCAGCTAGATGGACTTCCCAGGCATATTTGCTTGAAACCTAAAATTTATGTCCTCATTATGAAATTGCTATAAAGCTAAACGTGGATAATTTATTTTTGGCGGATTCGGATCGAGTCCAGTCTACTCCTCCTTATTTGAGGGAGAGTCCGAGTCCAATCGAGTTTACTAGTCGGAGTCCAATCAGGAATCAGCCCGGATTCCCGTCCGAGTCCGGTCTCAAATCTGTCAGCACTGAAAGGAAATTCACAGGTACCCTTCCCGTTGCCATTGTATACCCTCATGTGGCTTACTGAGGTCGTAATTCACAGACAAGCGGCTTTTATTATAAGCTAACCTAAAACAAATGTCACCAGGTATACACCAAAAACGGCTGCTGCGATGAAGAAGCGAAGAGCGCTGTAAGCAGCCAGAGTGGGCACCAGGATAAGAAGGGTTGAGGTAAGGCACGCTACAGACAGACTGGTGAAGATGGTGAACCTCCGACCAACCCTACAAAAANAAACGTAGTTGCAACTGTTCTAGTCAATTATTAACCCTACGTAGAGGCCACCACGTAAAAAAAAAACCAAACAAAAACCGCATAAAATGGACAACTGAGAGGGGATAGAACTCAACCAATCCAATCGTAACTCCACGGACCAAACCTGTCTCTAAAGCCCTGTCTAATACAACCCAAAACCAACGTGGAATTTGCGTGCGCCAAGCACTAAACTAAAAAATTGCTGACACGAAGAGCAACTAAACCCAACCGAACCCAATCCCATCTTTTTGGTGTCCCACCCATTGGTGGATCTAAGTCTTGTCCAACGCGGTCTCAGCGCTTTCTTGTCGAAGAGAAATTATCGGGCCTCAGGCCTCAAGCAAGGGATCCATAGTAAATTAGCTACCCGTCCCTCTCAAGGCAATTTGATGAAACTTGACGTTTTGAAATTTTGAGTTATGGACAAAATATGGGTGATCTGTGGACACTTTTTCCATTGAGCATGGCTACAAAATTGCACAGTTTTATACAATTGTACAGTAGTTTAATTTGCATAATATGCATATATCTTGGAATTGAGCCTATTGTTTTCTCTGACCATGAAAATGTGCGTGTGGATACTTGATTTGTTTAAACCAGGTACTTAGATTTGAAATTACAATGAAAATAGGTTTTTTATGCTAATATGCAAATCATGCAAATTGAACTATTTTCCCATGCTAAGATTCTTTAGCACTTTTAGGCTGGTGTTCGGGGGATCATTCTGAAATACCCTGCGGTGAAATTAATTCTTTTGCAATAAGTGTTCGGTCTCCCCCCCCCCCAAAAAAAAGATCTCCTAGATTGACTGGACTAATACCTCAGTCTCCCTATTCAACGACGTGCAACTTAACAGTGTATTAACATTTAATAATGCCCGCTGAGAAGTGATAATGCCCGCTGCGTAAAACACGCTCTGGTACCTGGATACGAGACAGTTAACTCCATCCCTGCTGGTCTTGAGTATGCGAGCAACGCGCCACCCGTGCGCCAAGTTTATATACAAAGTCATTCTATTGGACAACTTTCAATAGGAATATACCATAAAATGGACGGGGGTGCTCTGGAAAATGAAGGGAAAGTTTAGAACAATATCGTTGGAGACCCATCATACTTCTGTGGACTTCTTTTGACTCTCTGAATAAAAAGGTATTTATGATTCGGACTATATATGCTTGGCCTGCAGCTCTGGCATTAGTCGCGTTCATTCTCCTGTGCCGGTCTTAAACGCACGTTTAAGTCCGGCCAAGCACAAATAGGTATTCCCGTATTAAAATGTATAACACGCTGCTGCATAATGTGTAAGCATGTATCTTAAATATCAAAGGGATCATTGTTAAAAGTCTATATGGATTGTGTCTGACTTGCAAACTCTGACATTTTCAATCTTGCTTAATTAATGGATAGACAAATGAAATCCAACATATTTGAAATTATAAATTTCACGAAGTAAATGCCATGCCGCTGGACTCGACAGTCAATTTTTGTTTTAGATGAAATGCACCGAAAGCCTCGGAGATTATTTATTTTGGCGCATAAAATCAAATGCCACTGTATATCTAAAGCAGGTAACCAAATACGGTACATTGTTTTGCCGTGAAATGTATCAAAAAGCTTTTTGACTGTTGAGGTAGCAAAGGAGAACGTAGCGTTTTCTCATGAAATGTATCTACTCTGTATGAAAAAACTAAACAACAGAACGATATACGGCATATGGACACGTCGTATACATTGTATGTACACTCACATCGATATACAGCGTATGAGCACATCGTATACATGTACATGTATATTGTATGTAAACACACAGGTACGGTACAGTGTACATGTACGAAGCGCAATGCATGCACGTACACCCATTCGTCTCCCGTGGTTAAGGAAACTGAGGAAAATGCTTCTTTTTCTCCAACTAGGATAACTCCTTCGAGCTGGATTTTTTGATGATGATTTCCTGGACTGTTCCTCTTCATTTTGCCACAGATAACCTTGACCCCCAAATGTGTTACGTAACAATACTCTATGGTGTGTATAGGGATTGGAAATGTAGGGGGCACCCCTTCGTCCCCTATCTTTCTGAGTATAATTATTTTAGTGGAAGGGTCTACTTTAGATTGGTTTCGTCTCGTATGAATATAGCGCCCCCTACTGGTATTGCTATTCGACTGTGCTCGCCAGCGCATGTCGCCTGCACGGTGCACTGGCCAAAACAGTACATAGTAAAACCTGTCTTGGGGCAGGGCTGTGGGTACAGACGCGTGAGTGCGGGTAGTGTGCATTTGTACAAAACGAGCAGAAGGGGTGCACGTACATGTGTGTGTACATGCCATGCGTAGCCTGTCGAGTCGACGGGCGTGGACGCGTGAGTGCGCGCGCGTAGTGTGCATTTGCACAACACAAGCAGGGTGCACATACATGTACACAGCGTGCATGTACTGTGTGCAGTAGACCAGATTTGCGGATAGTAGTGTCACGCGCAGACGCTATGGTTTATATCGTCATTTAATACAGTGATGAGTTTTGCTGGTTTGGGACAAAACCATCAAGATTTACGTATGTGAGTGCGCGTGCGCGTAACGACTTGGCAAAAAACACATGAATTTATAGGCATCACGTAGGCACAGCGCGCTAGCTGGACCAGCGTGAACAGGTGCGCGCACCGTATCAGGCCAGATTTGCCCAACGCCTTATGCAACCCAACCTTGCCCGATAAGACTTTTGCGAGTTAACTTTGACCCAAATCTGGTACACTGAGTTCTTTCAATTCCTCCCCCACAGAAGTGTGGATCGGGTCTCCTAGTGATACTTACCCCTGTCCAGCCTACATGTGCAAATTTCCCATGTGCCTATTAAAATTCGCTGAGAAGACTTTATTATGCATGCTGCCCCTTGACCCTCTACAATGCACTGCGATCCCGCCTCCATGTTCGTCCTTCCTTTCGAAGCGCAGGAACGCCCCGGAGCAAAAAAGTGGGGAAGGACGGGCGGGAGCGGCTGGGCAGGGCTAAGTATCACTAGGAGACCCTACCCACACTTCTGTGGGGGAGGAGTCTCCTACGTTCACGTACCCCTGCCCAGCCTACATGATGCAGAGTGGCACCGTACCCTGGAGGTGGGTCGGCGACGGAAGCTAGTGTTGTTATTAAAAGAATATAGACGGGCGTCGCTCAAGCGAACAATCACCAGAAGATAGAAATGTCTATGATGAAGTATTCACCGTACGGCCCGGGGCAGTACTGGGCACTGTCCGGACCGCCGAACACAAGGTTGCTGAGCCAAGGGATATGTCGCTCTGCAGAACATCTTGTAGATAGCACTCGGTGAAGGCGGAGGGGGATCTCCAGCAAGCCGCCTGGCGGATTTCCGCCAGAGGAACTCCTCTGAAGTATGACCAGGACGCGGAAGCGGCCCAAGTATTGAGGGCCCTTACGCGAGATCGGGTCATCTCGTCATGTTGTGCCGGCCAGTGTCGGTTCGCGAAGATGATGGCCGAGACCGTCCATTGGGCAATAGTGTCCTTTGACGCTGAATGGAAGGGTTTTGTCGAAGTGATGAAGAGCCGAGAGTTAGACTCTCGGCGACGCTTGGTCCTGGCAAGGTACCACTTGAGGGTGCGGACTGGATACCATATCTTGTCAAAGTCATCTCCCAAAAGTGAGGCTATGTCGGGAACGAATATGCCGAGAGGCCAGAAGGTAGGCGTCTGGCTTTTCGTCAAAAACTTGATGGCTGGGATATTAGACCAACCCAATGCGGCTCCCAGTGGATGTGACCTTCGGCCATCGATAGAGCATGAAGTTCGCTACAGTGTCTTGATGTAATAACCGCAAGGAGGAATACCAGTTTGATGCTGAGATAGATATTAGATGCATCAGAAGGCAGCTCGAAGGGAGGATCGACAAGAACGCGTGAGCCGCTTCCAAGGTCCTAGGATAGCACGAGGCGTTTTGACATGAGGACGCTTGACAGACATTCCTCGACAAAGATGGTGGATAGCAGCGTTATAAGAGACTGTCAATCCATCGCTGAAGCCCAAATGAACGGCTGCCAAGGCCGACTAGAAATTCCGGATTGTGGTAATCCGGAGGCCCAAGTGGAACAGATACATAAAAAGGTCTGTGACAGAACTCACAGGAGCTTCGGTTGGAGAAGCATCGTGGTCGTCGCACCATCTGGTAAAATGTTGTAGTCGGATGTTGTAAATTTGCGAGTGGACAGTTGTCGACCCCGGGCCGTCATGGACGCGGCGTCTGCAGAAAGGCCCGACACCCCGAAGGATCGTTAGACAACGTCCAGCACGTGAAGTGAAGATCCCCCAGTGCTCGATGGAGGACCCCCGACTTGGGTTGACGAAGAATGTCCTCCCTGGGCGGACGGACCAGTGGTCATCGTACCAGAAGTCTTGTTAGTCTCGGAAACCATGGTTTGCGAGGCCAGAACGGGGCGATGATGAGGACCCGACACGGCACCCGTTTTATCTTGGACAGGACGCACGGGATATTGAAGGAAAGGCATACGCCAGAAGGTCCGACCAGTCAAACTGTAGGGCACCTGTAACCCATGTCTGTGGGTGAGGGAACCGGGAGCGGAACTTCGGAAGATAGGCTTCGTTGGTGGAAGCGAAGACGTCGATATGGGGACGGTCGATCTTTGCAAAGATATGGCTGACCACGTTCGGGTGAAGAATCCACCCTGTTGGTCGGACGGCACCCTCAGAGAGTGTGACTGCTATGCTGTTGTTGGTTCCTGCTATGTGGACGGCTTGGAGTGTGATCTTTTGTTCGTTCGTCCACATGAAGAGATGCCACACAAGGGTGCAGCGTTGGGGGAGCGAGTGCCGCCCTGGCGGTTGATGTACATCACTGCCGTGGAGTTGTCGCTCTGGACTCGAAAGGAACGACCCACTAGGTGCTGTCGAAAGTGGTGAAGAGCGTTAAACACCGCTTGGAGCTCTAACTTGTTGCTGTGTTTG